AAAAAGAATAATTTTTGTTAATTATTTTTTTGAAAACGCACCACCCAAAGAGAGTTCATCACCACTAAGCCAGTGGAAGATCGATGTACAAAAGGTTTATTCACAAAATGAAAAGACCAATGTCTACTTATATTTATTCACCATTTGTCTATATACTGAGTAAAATTAATAGGTCGGAATTTTATTTCAACGACAATACTGTGGGGCTTACAGACCGGTATTGTAAACTACAATCAAACTCTGCAGGCCACAATTGGATTGTGAGATTCCACCAATATATGGTAGTCGATAGGTGTTAACGAACCGCTGCACACCTGCGAGTTTCATTGTTCTAGCACCACTACCGTTGGAACTCGATTCGATATTGCGTCGGAAACTTCGCAAAAATATTTTTAATAACCATTACGAGACTGGATTCTATTAGATAGTTAAGTTTGAAGACAGTTTGAGCAGGGGGTAGGGTAGGGTAAGGTAGAAGGACTCCTTTCTCCGCAATTAGACTCGTGGTTGGTCCGTTGTGCGTACGAGTCCTGGCTAATTTAGCCAGCCTAGCTCCTTCCAGAAGCACAGAAGTCTCCTGGGCACTTCACAGGCTTCCCGGAGCGACCTCACCGTTCCGAGGATTTTTTCACGTTGATTAGCCACAGCCTCGCATTCCAGGACTACGTGGGTGACTGTTTCCTCTGCACTGAAACAGCCTCTGCACAGGGGGCTGTCTGTCGCGCCTAGGACAAAAAGATGTTTATTTAGGAGGCAATGACCCGTTATTGTCCCTATCATTATTTTAAGGTTGGTTCTATTTAAGTTTAGTAGTCGCTTTGTCAGTTGCGGGTTTACTGCTGGCAGAGCCACTTTGGACTGTCTGCAGGCCGCACCATGCGACCATCGTTGTTGCTGGAGTTCAGCGGATCTCTGGCGAATCCAGGTTCGCACCAGCGAGAAGGGCAAAGGAAGGAGCGGATACGGGCCAGCAGGCATCATTCCGGAGCCTCTTCTCGCAAGCTCGTCTGCAGCATCATTGCCGAGAGATCCACTGTGTCCCTTTATCCACTGCAAGGTAACCCTATTGGTTTGGGTTATGACCTCCAGTGCTTCATGACACTCCAGTATTAGTTTGCTGTTGGTTTTTTTGTTTCCGAGCGCCATCAGCACGGATGCACTGTCGGATACGAATTTAATGCAAAAGTCATTAATCCCTAGCCGTTGCACGGCTCTGGCTGCTTCGGTTAAGGCGACACATTCACATTGAAATATCGTGCTCTGTGTGCCCAAAGGTAGGTGTGTGTTGATGTTGAGATCAAGAGAGAATATGCCAGCGCCTGAGCCAGACCCTGTTTTGGATCCATCTGTATATATACGTAGCTCATTCACGGTCGACCGATCATGTTCCTCTTCTCTCAGTTGTATGTGATATTTCCTGTTAAATATTAATTGGTTAGTGATTCTATCACAGGGCGCAGCAATAAGAGGTTGATACTCTATTGCCCTGTTGAGAATCTCTGTGTGTGCACTATAGTGATTTTTTCCCCATAGATCCAGTACCATAAGCCTGATAGCAGCCAGGGCTGCCTCCTGCTGTATGTGTAGGTCCAGGGGTAAGATCTGCAGGGCCATCTCCATTGCTGCAGTTGGTGTCGTTTTCATGCAACCGCTAGCAGCGGACAAAGCAAGCCTTTGGAAGCGTCCAAGTTTGGTAATTGCCGTTTGGAGTTCTGTTCTGGGCCACCAAACAAGGGCTCCGTAGGCTAGCATTGGCCTGATTATGGCAGTGTATATCCATAATGTTATCTTAGGCGATAAGCCCCATTTCACGCCTAGCATCTTTTTGCATTGATAAAAGGCGATCGTTGCTTTGTTGCTTTGACAGTTTGAGCAGTGTTGGCCTAGTGGCTTCAGCGTGCGACTCTCTTCCCAGAGGTCGTAGGTACGGTTCCCGGTTGTGCACCAATGGACTAATATTCATTTAACATTCGCTCGAACGGTGAAGGAAAACATCGTGAGGAAAGCGACATGTCTTAGACCCAAGAAGTCGAAATGTATCAGGCACCTGGAGGCTGATCGCCTACTTGCTGAAGAAATCTTAGGCCCAGACCTAAAGAGATTGTAGCGCTATTGATTTTAAAGTTTGAAGACATAATTAAAGGTTATATAATATTTTTTTAATAGAACCCCCTGTTTAAAATATAAAAAATAATCTTATATTTCTGTAATAGGAATACACTATTTACATAAAATAAAGCTTTTTTATTCGTTTAGTATACATAAGGCCAACCTCAACTTGCCATTAGGCAAATCGAATATAAAAATCAGCTCCCGACGTTTTTTTTATGTAATAGGAGTCAAACGGACAGGAGGCTCAACTGATGTTAAGTGATATGCCCATGGACACTCTCCATGCCAGAGGGCTCGCGAGCCATTTAAGAATTGGTACGATATTTTCTTGAAGGACCCTTAGTTGATTTGGCTGGTAAATTCTTCAGTGGGCAGCTGGTTTCATTTCCCACAATAATTTAATGCTCTAACCTACTACTACAACCCAAAACTTAAGTTAACTTAAATAAATGTATAATACTTGGAACTTGTTCTATCACCAGTCACCACCGATTCAATCCACTTATACTATTCATAGTAGTAAATTTATTTTGTCATAAATTTTAATTGAACCGTTCTAAATAGTGTTTGTTTTAGATGTCTAAAAAATAGGTGTATAGAGTATACATGTTTTATAGAGAATGGTGAAACTTAAATTTCCTTAGTACACTAATATTAATAAATAATTCGAGGGCGGTTAAACAATAGTAGTGGTATTAATATAACTGCGCCTACGAACGCGCACCTGAGCACTGCACACAACTTCACATGCAGTCATTACATGTTATAGCTACGAATTATTTTGTATTAACACAGTTTTAATTAAACATGAGATATTACACGTATTAAACGCATTACACTATGGTGAGTGTTCTGAACAGTTGTTTGAGTTCATCCCTCCTGCCTCGTTTCATCACTTAAGTAAAAATAAAATATGTTTATTATGGACAATAAGATACAGGTATCACTTATTCCACGTCATTAAATATGATTCGGTAGACATCCCTACTCATCGGTAAAGAAGACGCAGGGTGTAGGCCAAGAGAAAAAGCCGGCGTAAAAAACTCTCGGTACTCTTTTAAAATAGCAAATCATCAAACAACACTTATTTTAAAACAAATATCGCAAATTAATTAGAAGTAGCCTGTCTAGCACTAGTCCCAGGCCCTTTTATGATCCATCCATAACTCTTATTTGTTAAAGTTTAAGCTCAGCTATCATTTAATTGCTTTATATTTTGGCATACTTGTAAAAAAATCATCGTTATATCGCCCGCGTACTTTTATATTTGGTGTCCCTTCATTACAATACAAGAAAAGCTTTTTCTTCAAACTAAATTCATGCAAATGGAAATTAGAAATTAAAATAAAAATAAAAACCTGATTCACCATCCATTGTTTTGCGTGTTGACAGGTGTAAATAATTGATTACGCCCTCACGGCCAATCGCGCCGCCCGCCCTCGGGGTGCTCAAATAATTTAATGGATGAGATTTTCACTAATTATAGAAACTTTCAGGTATTACCTTTGTAGTTACATTATGTATGCAGTTAAAAGTTGCTCCTCACTTACACATTGCAGTTTTTTTTCTATTCAATGTTACTTATAATATGGATTAATTTAAGCGGCGATAAAATGGGCATCACCTGGACGTGCCCTCTTTTAGGCCGCATATCACGTTTGTTTTTTTTCTTCAAAATCCTACCTGATGTGAACGTACGTCTGAATACTAATTCAATAACTCACTTTTAAAAAAAAAACCACAACCCCCCCCCCCCCAAAACCAAAAAAAAAAAATAAATTCCCTCCCCGCTTTTTTCGGCGCCCCCCCCCCCCCAAAACCCGGCGGGGGGGTTGGGGAAGTAAAAAAAAAAAAGGACAGAACTATTAAAAAAAGTTATACCTCTTTCCTAACACGGACGAGACTTTATTATAGACTAGGTATATCTTGTATGATTTGCTGGGATTATATTTAAGAAAAATGTGGAGTTAACAAAACACGATATATACGTAGAGCCGGTGGTTGGGTTCGATTCTCGGCGAGATAATAATTGTTTTGAGTAGACACGGATTGATTACCAACTTAAAAAGATCAATTAATATTATTTTATATAGATCTCATTTTTGTCTTAAAAGTCGATGTATGTAAAGAACGCTCACATGAGCTGCATTACAAATTGATACCTGAGAATAAAAATTCTGTATAACTTTTGTATTCGAAAAGAGAAAATTTCTTTTGATGCTCCCAGAATGAAATTGATTATCTATCAACGCATTGTAGGAAAACAGTATTCAATAATAAATCTGAGCCAAGTTGTCAATCACAGATGGCTTAGACGAATGATTCGGGCCCTTTAATGCGGAATATGAAATAACTTTTTGATAATACGCAGTTTAAGTCGATTCTTTATGCAAACTGACTTATAAAAAGGAGTTCTACACAAGGATTTATTTATGTGGTTCGTTCCTACAATTTAGTTTTACTACTAACTATTAGTAAAACTATAGGCTCTCTTCATATTTTCGAGTCATTCCATTTGGATATTTTAATAAAATTCTGTAGGAACTGAAAATTTTTAATAGCACCAGCCTTGCAATTCTGTAACTCACTTTTCTACAAACAATAAACTACAAGCTCCCTCCTTATCAGAATACCAAATCATAAAAAGGCTGCTTTACGACTGATTTGAGCGCGACCGCCGCTGTTAAAACCGCTGTGTGAGTTCGAAAAGTGAGTTACAGAATCGCAAGGCTGGAAGCTATATAGGTTTTTTGAGGAAATATTATGTAGAGGGCTAGGTAGTTGCATTTAATGCTTCTTTACATAAGCTAAAGCGTTTAAATACCGGCAAAAAAAGAATGGATACAAATATAAGAAGCGAAAAAACATTCAAATAAAAAATGTTTATTTTAAAATCCTTTATTAAACTGAGCACTTTGGCAATGTTCCTTATAATCTGGGTCCCACCAATTTCTAAACTTTGAATAGTGCTTATTTAAAGAGATATTATTTACATTTAATTTCGTACATAAATCACACATGTGAGACCTAGGTCTTGCCATGTAGTAGTAATGATTTTTCCAATCAAAGAAATATTCGTATGTAGTAGGGTTCTTTATTAGGTAGTCGATAATGGCACCCAATTTTTTTATATCAAAAGATTGGGCATTGATATAGGAGCCTGGTGGTAAAAATCTGCAAAAATATAATTGGAGATTAAAATGTATAGTTTAAGTTCTGCCTTGCAGTTCTGTAACTCACTTTTCGAACTCGCACAGCGGTTTTCGCAGCGGCGGTCGCGCTCAAATCAGTCGTGAAGCAGTCATTTTACGATTTGGCATTCTGATAAACAATGAACTACAAGCTCCCTCCTTATATTTGAGCGCGACCGCCGCTGCGAAAACCGCTGTGCGAGTTCGAAAAGTGTGTTACAGAATCGCAAGGCTGTAACCCAGATATTAATATGTCAAAAATGCCTCTCATGCCTAAAATTGCGATGTGATAAAAAACGTTTTCATTGGCTTCCCTAGAATATCACTAGATGCAGAAACAATTATGTTTGAAGCCTTTTATTATTTGGATAGATATTTCTGGTTGATTAGTCATAATATTACTAATTTATAGACAAAGTTAGAAGATGTAAATAAAATCAAATTAACTTTAACGTCCTGTAGAAATTTAAAAAGATTTGGTATATTTTAAATAAGCTACAACAAAGCAATCACTATTTATAAACCTTGATAGATATTTGTATGTGTGTGCAAGATTTGGTATCCTTTACAAATACTATTTTTGATGGTAATTTACCTGTTATAATGCGATCCTCCTATGACGATAGGTATAGAGATGTGTGTCATTGCTCTAACCATTCTTTCTGTTATGTAATCCTCAGCGAGTGTTTCTTCTAGAACCATTTGAAAGAAATAATGTTGTTCGATAATATCATAACAATTCTTTGTACTTCTCTTAGGACACTTTTTATCACCACAAGGTCCGTATATATCTAAAGTATAATTGTACCCTTTGAGTTCATTTTTAAATTCATTAATAAATTCTTCGTGTTTAACTTTTAGTTTACATGCAGTGACGATCCAAGCCACCGCTTTGGTCTTCTTCCGCATTCTACTTTTATATTTATCGGTATGATCCATTTGTCTCGTCCAGTTTATAAACAACTTAGGTCCAACTATTTCATTATTGATGTCGTAGATGTTAAAAAAAGGATGGGATATCTCGGAATTTAGTTTGTAAGTCCATGTCCAATTGAAAAAGTTATCGAAAATCGGATTGCACACAGGATGCGTGTCTGATGGTTCAAGGGAATTAAAAACGTAGATTTGATTAGGTGAACGCGTTATCTTTATATTTTTTCCCGTTAATTTCATTATGTCTTTCACTTTGAAAACCACTGCATCGAAATTCCTGTGATCCTCTTTTAATAGATTCTTATCGTAAGAAATATAGCAATTTATATGTGGACACTTTTGTTTTATAAATATTTTTTGGCCTACTATTTTCTTATTATTTTTAAAACTTGGATTAGCGATTGGACTCCAAATAAGGATATATTTTAAGTCGGTGTGGTACCTCAAGGAGTTTTGTAACAGTTGGAGGTAATAATTACCACTAACCAAATAGTTTGTTAGCGAACATATTAAAACGGCACTTAGAAAAACTCCCGAATATATGCAGAGTCTTTTTATTGTTTTTCGGCACGGGCTTATGAATATCATATCTCTAAGTCACTCATAACACGTGTAAACTATACGAGAATATGCACTGAAATGCATATTGATTGTTTGATTTAGACGTTTTGAATTCTTTGTACAAAAAATTGTTGATTTGTTTACGTTTTTCGTTTACTGTTTGTTTGTCGCTCGGTGCAAATTTTATTTGAGGACAAGCTCGTTAGATTCTTTTTCTTGTTGGTCGACTTTATTATATTGAATTTGTCGCTATGTGCCTTGTTCAAAATAATTTTTATCAAGAGCTGAAGATGTACATTGACTTAATACTTGCTTTGTATAGTTCGTAAAAAAAATAAAATTTTAGCCTTAGAGATTAATAATTTTAAAATAAAGTAGTGCTAGGACTTGGCTTACGAGTGCAACGTTCTACCCTGAGGTCATGAGTTGTGGAGTTTCTACTCAATCTGCGTAATTAATAGAAGAAGTACTTAATAAAAGCACTTTAAAATAATAGACATAAACAAAGAAATAGATGAAATCTAATTATTAATATTTAATTTATATGACAATATACTTAAATTCACTTAACCAAACTCGTTACTGTAGACAGCTCAGTATGTAATTTATGTGTTTCATTTCGTAATAAAGTACGCGTTTAACCAAGTGATGAATGAAAAACTCGTTTTCGTGTCCCAAAACGTAATTTATTGAATGATAGCTTTTGCACGCGGTTTTAAGATAAAAAACCAATGTGGTCGTGTTTTGAAACCTTTCATTGATTGCATAATTAATAATATAGTTTGATTTATACATCTTTGAAAATATTTTTTTGGCTTATATATTACCCTTTTAATCCAATTACAAATTATTAGCGAAACGTTTAAGGAGGACGTATTTTAAATAAACAATAAAAATAAATAAACCTAAGTAGAAACGGGCGGGCCAGGAGGAACAGACGAGAGACTGGTGGTGCCCAAGGTACAATAAACACAAAAAGAGGAAGCCTCTAGATTACGACTAGATTAGGGAAACAGCAGGTGGTACATGGAAGAGCGTGGCACAGTGCAGGCAGGAATTGTGGGATTTGGAGGGCTTTGTCAAAAATAAGAAAACCTACAGTGTCTAAGATATATCGGTTTCCTCTCGATGTTTTCCTTCACCGTTCGAGCGAATGTTAAATGCGCACATAGAAAGAAAGTCCATCGGTGAACAGCCACCAAGATCCAACCTACCACCTCAGGGATGAGTATCGCAAGCCACTAAGCCAACACTGCCCTGCCAAAAAAGGCCACACAAATATCTAAAAAAAATGAGATAATAGAAATTTGAATGTGTTAAAGTGTAAAAGTATCTGAAATAAAATTCTTTTAAGTATTGCACTTATAAAACGCAAAAATGTGTCTATGACGATAGACGGTATAGACAGTCGAACTAAATAATAACTTATAATTTAAAGGTAAAATTTAAAGCATGCTTAACTTAAGTAGATCATAATAGACAGATGTTTATATTTGAATTAAATGCAGACTGTGCTTGCTTATTTTCCGTTGTTACTCAAATTGTCGACACTTGAGTACAGATTAGCTTCGTTACCCCGCGGCGGAGTCTACCTGTGCTAGTGATGCTCTATTGTTATCGATAACTCTAAATTTAGAGAATTTTAAAACTTTAAACGGATGCAATATAAGTGCTCGCGAGCCCTCTGGCATTGAGAGTGTTCATGGGCGGCGGCATCACCTAACATCGGATGAGTCTACTGCCCGTTTGCCCCCTGTTTTATAAGAAAGATACTAATCATTTGTCGAGGCTTTAAGAAAATAATTTATTTAAATCTATGTATAACATTTACAGCATTAAATGTAGGGTTTTTAATTAAATATATTGAAAATTAAAATTCATTATGTAGAATAATATGAATTATGTACGAAGGAAAGAAGGTGCTGCTCTTCGATTCAAAGAGGATCGAACTAGTTAAACGACTGGCCGGTCCGAAGGTCTTAGTGGCTAAGGCCGAGAAGTATCTTACGCGGTCGGAATAACTTTATTAGTGCGTTTCAGGGTACGAAATCTACGCATTGATTGTAGCAACAAAATCTAACAATCAAAAAAACTAACTAACAAAAAATTCAGATTTTATTTCTTTTCCTTTATAACAGTTTAATGCGTGAGATAATTGAGACTTTGCAAAGCTATATCGAACTTATACCATATTCAAACGTTTGGACTCGATAGTCATATAGCGTGTACGCATGACAATGTATGAAAATAATTGATGAACTCCAAAGATAACAACGTTTTTAATTGTGGAGTAATCTGTATAGCTTATTTTGTTAAAATAAATAAGTTACTTCCCAACACTAAATTCCGCGTGGTCGCGCTCGGAAGCTCGCGGAATAATGATTTCTTTGAATCCTGTTTGAAGTGCTCGCCATTACCGACTTGGATACGTTTGTTCTGTATATAATAGCGTATCCCGATGCGATTTCTAATTGTTTTCTTTATTCGGGTGTTTGTCTTTAATGACAGGGTTTATTTTTTATTTTAAGGTAAATTTGCTACGGCAATAAGGCTGTTCATGTTGCCAAGTGCCAAGTGAGTTGGTTGATTGGTTGTAGTGGGCGACGTTTATGCAAATCGAACTGCGTGTAGCATTCGTCAAGGTATCTTGTCAAGGTTTACACCATTTTTAAGAAATGATTAAGGATATGGTATTACAATATCCACAGAAAGTAAAGTAAAGGTGTATTTTATTAACAGATTTATGACTTTTAAATATCAATACCTTGTCAAGGTTTACAACTATTGGGAGTTTAAGAAATTATCAAAAATATAGCAGTACCACAATTTATTTATTTTGATTTGCACGTTGTTTACAAGGTAAAAAACAAAAAATATAAAAATAATAACTAAAACTAAACAAAAAAGGTTTATGTTGAGAGCATGATGAACAAAGTTACGGTAAGTTGGTAAAAGTTGTTTAGTTTTTATCTATAATGTAAAATTTATTATTATATATAACACTAATTAAAACTAAATTTGTACCAAATGTATGAAAGTACAGTTCGAACAGAGATTACCCTAGGGGGGTACCACACGTTTCCGCTGTGGAGAATCCCCTTCTGGGTGGACACATTGAACGGGCTTCGTATTCTGGGCTACGCTAAAAATCTTTTAACCGGTGTCGGCCGGCAACGCATTCGCGGCCCTCTGGCATTGTGAGTGTCCATGGGCGGCGGCGATATCACTCAACATCAGGTGAGCCTCCTGCCCGTATGCCTCTTGATCTATAATAAAATCTAAATAAAATAGAACACTTTCGTGTACAGAAATAAACGCTGATGAATTCTCAACACCCAGAAACAATTGAACCGTGAAACGAATGAAAAGGCAGCAATCCTTTGAGTTTTATCTCGCGTCTAAATCAACTGAAACACAAAGGTGTAGACGGACTCAATCAATTCGGAACTGTATAAAGAAGAAAAAGTATCGTGAAAACTGGGCTGTCACAGTTTCAATTCCATTTGGGAGAGAGTAACCGCACCGGAGTTATATGGCTGTGTACGTTCATAGGTGGAGAGATTTTTAATTAATATATAATGTATTTCGTATAACTAAATCAGTGGCGCTACAACCTTTTTTCAGTCTGGGCCTCAGATGTCTGTATCTGTTCATTATCATCCTTCTTGTTTTGACAGCCGAGAAGGCAAAATGTCGGCGCACAAGACATTTATTATTAAGCGAAAACTCGCTAAAAAGCTAAAACAAAATCGACCCATTCCACAATGGGTTAGAATGCGTACAGGAAATACCATTCGGTACAACGCTAAGAGGCGTCACTGGAGAAGGACAAAGTTGAAGCTGTAAGCCTTCTCAATAGCTGTTAAGATAATAAGATAATTAAGATAATCATTTGTCAGTCTAATAGGCATGTAGGTATCTCGTATCACCTCGACGTCCGTCGCTCCACATCTAAGTGATTTTATAAGGCAATTTTTGCTGCGAACCACCACTATGTGGATCCAGCTGCCCACTGAAGTATTTCCGAACCAATTCGACTCAGGGTCCTTTAAGAAAAGAGCATACCAATTCTTAAAATGCCGGCAACGCACCCACGAGCCCTCTGGCATTGAGTGTGCTCATGGACGACGTTATCACTTAAAATCAGGTGAGCCTCCTGCCCGTCTGCTGCTGTTTTCTGCCCAACAGTTTAGTTTTCATTGATATTTATGCTATCCTACTCCATACGTAACTCCATAAGTCAAATGTGAGCTTATGTCCCGCCCTTCAGACGATTGACCACCTCGCGACGGTCTCGTATTTGACGCCCTAGCTCTGGCCGAGCTACGCTTGCCAATTCTCAGGTCCTTCTAACTAGATGTTTATTGTAAATTTAATACCACAGCTCATCCTTCATAGTTTTACATTTTTTTTTTTTTTTTGAAAGACAATTCACACCAATTGACCTAGTTACATTACATCCTCATACTTCATTTTAGTTTGTTTTATTAATATAGTTTTTTGTATTACTTTAGATTCCGCTATAATTTTTTATATAACATTTGGTTATGCACTTCTTGCACTTTACTCATCATATTTCTTTTTTTAGTATTTCCCTTACTAGGGTTCCTGGAAGAGATCGCTTGTTAGCGATAAGGCCGTCCGTTGCATCCCTTATAATTATTATGTATTGTGTTATTTGTGTTCTATTTTACTGCAACGAAGTGTGCCTGTGAAAGGCCTGACAGTTGTCAAGGCCCTTCAGTCCAACAGCGACATTTGGCGAGAACAATTTTTGTACAGCTTACTCGCAATACATGAATAGTATCCTCTCGTTTATTTTTCTTTAAACAATTAAATTTGTTCAACAAGTGTGAACGCTAATGTACGCAATGATACAGTACACGGCTGTATCTTAGCGTACATTAGTTATACAACCGTACACGGAATAATGCAATTAATCGCTTTCACAGCTACTATAAACCGACCCGATACCCGCAAGTGTAAATCACAGTAAACATTGGGACCCGCGGCGTCGGGAGCTTAGTCGTTTAGTGTGATTTAACACCTAATTAGTGGTCAGATAGGTGTGCGCCCTTATATGTGCAGATGCAAATTGTGTGGTTTAAATTCTCTTAACTCGTGTAATAAATCCTTAATTCGTTGTATAATGAAAGTATATAATATTATGTATTCACTACTTGGAGCGTTACTTGGAGTAAAATGTTAATTATATATGGAGCGGCGATGTTGGAATGGGTTTGTGACGTATGCAATCTATTAATTATATTACAGAAATCCTCACAGCTCAACGGACCTAATGAGAGTCTACTTGAGGAAACTAAGTCCACCAACCTTTAACCTGTAATCTATAACATTTTCTTATCGAAAATCTTGAAATTAAATGATTCGGAACAAAAAGAGAATTTGTAACAATATTGTCCAAAATATTCAATCATAAAATTATAAAATTACCCCCGCTCTCACCACACACATAGTTATCACGTAGAAACATACAGACGATGGCAATGTCCATTGCAATGCAGTCTTCCCGCTATTACCACCAGCATGTTGTTAGGGGTTCCCCGCACGCATCTCACCAGAGATACAGCTCGCTAGTCCATTGTGGCATAAAGACAGTCCACACCTGCACGACCAAACATTGTAGAAGCACTGCAACAGCGAGGGAGCACCATCAATACCCTGAACGCTTTATTGAACTGACCACGAAGGGAATTGTATAATTTTTTGTACAGCACAAACAAAGCAGCAACGTCTTGCTCACTGTTCGTGAAACCAAAATTTCGCTATCACCAGTGCCGCTACAACCCTTGGTGACCAACAACAACAACAGATACAATCTAATGAGATTTTTTGATGTTTCGTAATCATTTATTGAATAGGCAAATAGGTGATCCGTCTGTCTGTGCTTGACACACGCTGTCTATTTGGGTCTAACCAAGACTTACCTCACCGTACAAGAGAGATGTTATTAAGCTGCTCCGTTTTTTATGTAGTACAAATAGATAGAGTGATTCATGTGGAGGTTTAATACTTATAAGGTTCAATACAGCGAAGTTGGGACAGGTCGCCTGTCGATAAATTTAAGTTATAGGCAAACATTTTATATTTCTCAGAAATACAGAAAAGTAAATACATCGAATATCATACTTGATAATTTCATTGAATCTTGGCGTCGCGCCCAAGTGCTTTCTATTGAGCGTACAGTCTGCAAAAATATTGCTTTAAATTTGTATTTATTTCCTTATGTTCTATTCTCACAGTAACTTAATAATAATGTAAAAGCTATGTCCTACCTCTAAGGAGCTTAAAAAATATAATGTAAGGTCCCTCCTTACCAGAGGTGGATCTACTTAAGGGCATTTTGGGCTGCAGCCCATTGCCCCGTGGATACATGTCCCCACTGAAAACAATAGGCGATATTTTGAATTAAAAAAATTGAATTTTTAAAAAGTTTAACCAAGGTTGGTAATTCCCTGGGAATCATCATCGTAATAGCCTAGAGCCCGACAAATTCACGATCTGCCCATGCTCCTTACCTCTATCTTGTTATATCCTACCATTTGTATTTATGCCAATTCAAGTATTTAGTAGCAATTAAAAACAATATAAATTAAACTCAATGTCATGTGGTGGTGCGTCTAACATAATAAATTTTGAAAACATCAAAATTATTTCTGCTGACGCTACGCCGTTAGTATATAACTGAGTTACCTTTATTGATAACGTAATGCAGCGCACACCACTTAACGCTCAAACTTGTTACAATCTATTTATATTGTTCAAACTTTGCGTTAAAGCTTTGTGACATCATATATAATGTTTGGCTAGTCCTTTGTCCACGTCCGACAACCGGAAATAGTGCTTTTATCTAAATTGTGTTACAAAATATTTTTTATAATAGGAAAGTGCTATATTTTAAATATATCGTGTTTCTTGAGACAAGAATTGTTTGTATTAATGCTTAAACAGTGAAATAAACTTTTTAGATTTAAGTTTAGTTAGTGTAATTCTAATTTAATTTAAATTATTTCTAATTCTTCGGAACCTTGCCTAAAGGGATTTAATAATAAATATAATATTTTACGGTTAGTTATAGTTTTTTTGTTATACATTTTAATTAGTTAAATATGTCAAATATGTTTTTTTATGTATTATATTGGAATGTATGTATGTTAAGAATAATATAATTCTTGTAATAAAAATGACACTAAAATTCTAATTTTATATGTAATTTTAATGTTTTTTTTGTTTTATTTATGTATCATGTACTTTAACCTCAGGACATAGCTATTTCTTTTTTATTATTCAATACTAATGTTGTCTGGAAGAAACCATCCGTGATAAGGCCACACATTGCCTAAAAACAGGGTTGCCGTATTTAGAGGTCTGGAGGACTCCTGGCCTCAAATTATAGTGAAACCATAAATTCTTAGATTCTTTTAGTATTAAACATACATATAAAAATATATGAAAAGAAAAGTTTTGTACTTGTAGTCGGAATTTAAAACATTTAAAACATCACCCTCCCCAAAATAAATTCTGCCATTAGTAACATGTTTTTTTAAATGTATGTTAAAGGTAAAAATCGAAATAGTGTCCAGTAACGACACTTCAAACAACAATGGTTGGTAGCTTCTAAAATAATTGTTATTCTACCACTTTTCTTGAATATGAAGAGATGAATATTTTAAATGTAAAAGTCATACAGATTGACCTGTTGCCTGAAGTATTTCCGAACCAATTCAACTTACGGTCCTTCAAGAAAACAGCGTACCACCTCTTAAAAGGCAGGCAACGCACTTGCAATTCTTCTGGGAATATGTGCCCAATCACTTAACATCGGGTGAGCCTCTTGCCTATAAGAATTGATTGTAATAAAATACAAACAGATCAATACCATATAATTATTACCGTCCATAACATATTTATGAATAACATTCCATGAAAAATAAGCACATATTTAAATTTTCATATAAATCTTCAGCATTATTCAATTTTATTTACGTCTTTTGTCTTCATACTTGAATAGCAGTCTTCCAAGCCTTTTTAAACTGTCCACGACGTTTGGAGAGCGGATGTTTGCGTCTGCATGTGACTTAGTATGTTTTTAAACATGTTCTAGAATGTTTAGCCGATAAGCTTTTCAAAGGATACTTTAAGTTTCTAGATACAAAGTGGTCGGATTATGCAAGACTCCGTCGGTTGGTTTTGCGAAGCATTTTTAGTTAAATATTTTCTGGTTTTAGCCGCTTTTGGTTGTAGCATAATTTTTTAAACTTTTTCGAAAAAATAGTCAATTTCCAACTAGTAAGATTAACAAAAACTTCGTTAAAAATTATATAATTTTTTTTGTGGTTGTTTATTTAAGATTTTCCCTTGATAGCTTGCTTATGTTCTAATGAAATTGATGTGTATGTGATGTTAAATTTGTGATGTCATATTTTCTTGTATTTATTTTTATTCGTATAGTAAAACAGTGATGATTTTACTCAAAACAGTGTTTTATATCAAGAAATCGAACCCACTACCTTCACTTTTGGTCGTTTTCAAATATGTATTAACACAGTAGAAATTTTACGATAAATAAAGATCAACAATTTTATAATCGATTAAAGTAAGCAATCGTGTGCAAATGCGTGACATAAAAAAAGCCTTTAGTTTTAAGAAAATTTGACTTAAATAGAAAAAATAACCATTCATTAGAACCATCCCAGTTCTCAGATAAATATGACAGTAATAAATCTAGTGTATCGTGGTGCAGAGGCAACTTCCGGTGCAAGGAGTCCGGACAACATGGCCGGGCGTATCCGCTTCCGGGAGACTTGTACTGGCTACTTTGTTGTTCCATCGGACTTGTTAGAAAATGTTTGTTAGAGTAATAATGAGATTATCTAGTTCAATCATAGTTGAATAAACATGTTTGATTAGAAAGACTCCTTTTATTGATTTATAAAATAAGTAGTACTTATTTTGCTACCTCAGTTATTAAAGTAAATTTCGTCCTTATAATAAAGTTTATAATGAATAGTAGAATTATTAGTACCTATTCCTGCATCTTATTGTGATGTAATAAATTTTTGACCAGATTAAAACGTATTCAATGAAGACAATATTTTTAATATTTTGGAAATCAATATAGCCTATGTTCTTCATGAATAATTTAGGATTCTAATGGTGAAATTTTAGAGTAGTTATAGTACATTTTGAGGTCGGTGTAGTGTTGTGAATCGTGTTTTGTTTTGATTTTTTGAGAATTCTATAGACTTTTTTTTTATTAAGAATTGTATAGACTTTTCTGATAGAGTATATTATCTCGTACTCCTCTTCGATTGAAGAAAATAGATGGAAGCAATGATTCATATTAGTTTAAATTTTTATAGCAATCATTTAGTATTTTTAACTTAACATACAATATTTATTTGATGATCTTGCGATACTGAAAAATCTTTTTGACAGTTAACTGTGACCACAGATAAAGGCCATAGACAAGTATGAGACAAAAATAAAACACATTTGTCGTAAATATTTTATTTTACACGGAAACAGCATCTATGATCTACTATTTCTAGAATGTGAATATTATTCTTATTTAAGCAAGACTATAAGATGAACTGTACATAATTATACGCTTGGAACTATTTTTACATTCAATTTATTTATTAAAGGTTATAATTTATTACTAATCATAAGCTTCTTTGTGTACATATATTTTTACAATTCTCATAAAATAGGTCCTTAATAGTCCAAGGAGAGATGGCCAAATATTGTTGATAACAAGTATTAAAATATAATACCTTTTAGATATTAGATCATTTTTGGTCCAGCGAAATTTTGCTCAAGTTTTAACCAGTTTAATATAAAAGAGGGATAAACAGTTTGACCCTATTTTAAATTTGAAAATTGATCATTACAATAACTTTTACATAGTATGTTATTGTATATTATGTGGTTGGCAAGTACCGTTCAGGAGTTAGGAAGTTATTTTAGTTATTTTATTATGTGAAACATTGCTAAACAGCTCAATATTACTAAATATTAAAATTGACAGATTACAGACTTCTAATTTCCAAATGGTAATAAGTACATGCGTACCAGATAGCATTGCGGTCTCTATGGACTATTAAATATAACGACAACAAAATTGGGCACAGTTTTAAGAAATTTTAAAGCTTTAATTGTATGTAATATGGACGAATTATGACGTCATTTCCATAATTATTTACATCAATATACATTAGACCTAATAGACATTCATAGAAACTAAATCAGTGCACTTCGATTAAAGCATTATTAATTATTAACGTGCTTGTTACTATTTCCATATTCAACGGTTACCATAGCAACAGTAATTCTCTTTAGTAAGCCGGGTTCTACCGTAAGTTTAACAAAACACTATCGTTAAATATGGCTCAAAACTTTGTATGAAGAATATATACAGTGAGTAATGCGCCGAACGAAGATATCTCTCGGTGACCACAATTGAAAAACACTGGATACAGAGATTCGTTATAAAAGTGTGTTCTTCCATGCATTTGACGCAGACAAACAAATACTTTCTACTTAAAACTCACGATAGACCTATATATATAAAGTCCATTGTGTTAAGACTGATTTAATTTATATGAATTAAATAATTCGTGCTTAATAATTTATAATTTTATAATTCGCTACATATGTTTTGAATAATACAAGGTAGGTTTAAATGCAAAATTAAAATAATTTATTGTTTGAGTCACTATTGTTGATTTTACATTTAATAATTATTTTAACATTCTAATTAATCATTGACAGCATTGCTAAATCTTCTGTGCTGCGGTATCGCATGCTGTGCTCGCGAGGCCATTGAGTAGCTGTAACATAATTTATATTAAAACAGGGGTTCTACAATTGAAGGGGTGAGATTCAGAAACAAGACTACGCGAACTATGACTCCCTAATGTCAAAATCCATTTTGGACTTGCGTGAAACAAACAAACAATCAAACAAAAATCATTTATTCATGTAGGCAACACAATTTACACTTATGAACGTCAAAAAAAAAAGAAATATACATTAAATGCTTCTAATTTACATTTACTGCCAGTTCTCAAATCAAGGGCGTAGAACGGAAGAGAAAAACTGGCAATAAACTCTCCACCACTCTTTTTAATCGCCAAGTTTTTGTTTTACATAACGTTTATAAGGAGCTGCAACCATTACACCATGTTCCACATGACATCTTAAGTAATAAATAATAATAAAATAAAATAAACACAAAGAGAATTCTGAATATCACCCATGATTCAGAGTTGAGACAGCGCTAAGTATGACTCCGTAACGTCGTGCTTAGTCTCGACTCTTAAACGTCAATCCAATAGATAATTGATAATTTCTTGTTCAAAGCGTTGATCTCCCATGTTCTTACCGTATACACGACCTCCGGGTTGTGTTTTAGAGCTTAAGTTCAACATTATAGCGCTACTGCTCAGTAGAACGAATTTTATTATTTTTATTGACAAAAATACAAAAAAGTAAAATTTTCATACGTAATGTTTTAAAAGCACACAAAATATGTGTTTAACAATTCAATAACTATTCAAACGGCTGTTTATCGTTATTTTAAGGAAGCAGCCTCCCACATGCCATAGACTGGCACAATGCTGACAGAAATGGCGGAAATGGAAGAAGGGTTTAGTCAAAAAAGGGCATACATATAATATAATGATGAATGTATTTTCGTGTACCGATGTGAAATAAAAGTCTATTAAATCTGTAGCTAAAAAATAAAATAAATCAGTGGCGCTACAACCTTATTCAAGTCTGGGTCTCTGATTACTGTGTCTGTGTCATGAAAATCTAATAGGCAAGTAGGTGATCTGCTTCCTGTGCCTGATACACGCCATCGACTTTTTGGGCTTATAGCCGGTTTCCTCACGATGTTTTCCTTCACCGTTCGAGCGAATGTTAAATGCGCTCATAGAAGGAAAGTCCATTGGTGCACATCCGGGGATGGAACGGTCTCAGGGATGAGACTCGCACGCTGAAACCACTAAGCCAACACTGCTCAAAAAGTCTGTAACTATGATATCATATCAGAATAAATAGAAATATGTTCTTAGGTAGTTTAGTTCATTAATGATTCGATGTTAGTTCTTGATAGCATTCGATTTTTATACAATTTGTATAGTTTACACGAATACTATTCGAACGGTGCGAACGTTAAGTTCCAAATACGCCCACTACACAAGTACTTCTTAAAAACCTATAGTTAGTATTACGTTTTGAACCGCTACCCCGATAAAATGCCACGGTAAGTTGAAATGCACCCGAAAACTGCAATAGGTTGATAGAGTTGGTGGTCCCTGAGTCACAAAAAGTATGCCTACCGGTATTCACATAAATAAAGGTTTGTTCGTGCTAGGTTTATTATTATTATTATAATACATTCTGAAATTAAAAGCTAACTTGTACATGAAGAAAAGTATTAACATCACACAAAGTACACACAAGCAATACACCTGTAATTAAAACTCTAAAGTCTCAAAGCAATGCAAAGCAGTCCGGTAAAATTAAAATTTGTCACAAAAGCAGGAAACAACGAAATACAAATACCTATTTTTTGTGACATGTTTTCTTTGAAAACATCTTTCTTTTGCATGCAACACTCTTTTTCGTTCGTGCCTTGCGGGAATAACGTGCTGTAATTCAGACATTGAAAGGTACTTATATATGAATCTGTATTATCTAGAGTCTATGCTGTAGTCAATCGTCGAAGCTTTGTTTATATTTAATATAACTAGGCAAAGTGATTTGAGATTCGTAAGCTTTTTTGTTCAGTGTTTAAGTCGGCTTGTTAATAATTTAACCTAGGTTTAGACATAATTTATAATATTAGTATTAATTTCATGATTTATACTATTTTTTTAAATTAATTTTTCTTTCAATGTCAGACGCATTTGCCTTGCATATAATTTATCGATAACTCCAAATTTGGGCTCATTTGTATAAGCCAGTTATTTATCAAAACTGCTATCGACTTTTGACTACAACAAAATGCAATGTGCAAGATAATCATGCTAAAGTTATGTATGTTAAAATTCAAGATGCATAAAGTCTGGAAACGTGCTTCATTGTTACCTGTATAATGCATATTGCGGTACATATCCGGACAGTTACTTGATGCCTGAAACAAAAGCATTTAAAAATATAAATTTTGCCTTAATTCCATGACAACCATAAACGGAGCCCTTACTCTGTAACATCCGATACCTACAGCGATGCCGATCCTAATAATGAGCTTTTGTACCGCGAGATCCCAAGGCCACATCAGAGCTACCTACAGGTTGAGATAACCGCATCGAACTTACATACAAACACTTTGGGATCGACATCGCTGTTACTACTGAAAGTATTAGAGTATAGAGTACAAAAGTATATCCATAAATGCCGTAAAACTATGATGGGTTCTTATTTTTGTCTGGCCACATCGTGAATTGATCAATTCTACAATCGTGCCCCGACATAATCGCAAAGCGGATGCGAAATGTGGCCATAGAGCAGTGTTTTTTTGTTTGTTAGACAATTTGATTGTTAATGGGAGCTATTTGAAAACTTATTTGGAATTTCAATTTCAGTTTTTGATTATGTTTTAATTTACTTATTATGTTTCGTTAAAATTTTAGCAGTTATTTCTGCCTAAAGCCTATCATTTAAGTTTCTTAAGTGAAAAATTAAATTGTTTAAAGCTATTTTAGAAAGGTGGTGCACGCCACAAAAATGGTTGGGAAACACGTCCTAAGAGAAGTAATGAAGAAATGAATAAAACTTTTATCAAAATCATCCATTACTGTAATATCACAATAAGAGCAATCTAATTTTGTTTGTGCATTTCAAGAGGAGTTCACAAATAATCCGCATGTCTCTTCGTAGACCGCAGGGCACTAAGTTAATTAATTAAGGTTTGAGCTTTCTCTGTAATTATATTTCACGCTTTGACTGCGACATGCCGTTCGCCGGGTTCAACTGATTTATTGGATTCTATAGATATTTATTTTAATTATTCTATACGACGGTTTGTGTTGACGATTCGATACGGAGTTGAAAATGAACAAAATATTAACTGAACTTGTATTTAAACTAGAAAATCTTACTGAGTGAGGATCAGGTAAGATTTACTTGACTTATATATTTACACGAGTCGTTATTATAAACAATATAGATTCACTTTTACTTTTCTAAAAAAGTAAAAAAAAAATTGTGTTAACACAAGCCAGACTAAAGAAGTTTTGATATTTAAGAATTGCTGTACAATGTACAATGGAGTATCGTTTTGTTGAGTTACGGCTTTTAATAAAGAGAAATAAATATAAACTCAAGCAATTTGCAGCAGGTGAAAAGATAAAGTTTTGGGTATTATCAATCATAACTTACTGTATTATAAGAAGTAAAAGGTATACGCATCTTCATTTGGAAAGGCATACAGGGTCTATAAATATTTTTCGTAAATCATCATTACGTTGTAACAGATAAACGGTGTGCTAAATTTTATCCACAAAGATATTCGTTTTTATTCATGTATTTCAGTTACTAATCAGTTAGTTTCATCAAAGTCCTTTCTTTTTTTAGTTTTTGACCACACACACGTTTAAATAAATTTTACTTTAATATATTAAGTACAAAATAATGACAGGCATTTAAAGCCATTTTTTTCGATTTCTCCTTCGAACGCGAGGAAAAGACTCGCGACATGTTGGGAATGACGGGTTTTAGGCTTTAGCCAAACGCTTTTTTACTCCTCCAGATTTCTTCCGAAATCCCTGCACTCCCTGCGTCATTTTATAGCTTATTTAAGTTACTGCTAACGGTCTTCAAGCTGTATTATTAGATTAGATGTTGGTCATGATGAAGTTTATTTTGATAATGTTTCTAACAACAGAACCACATTGATCCATTCGTGTAAGAGCTGTGATGACTAAGACCCTTCTGCTTGGCATCAGGTGTTAGAATGGAACATTCCTAACTGTAAGGGATACATACCGGCAGTCCCTGTTTGTTGAAGTTAATATTAGTTCTGACAGTACGATGGTGTAATGGCTGAACTGGGCGAGCATTGTTGCCGAGTGGCGCTTTGGGTGTCAGCTGCGATCCTTGCATCAGACGGCGGATTGCGTACATCTATAAGAAATAACATACAACTTAGTCCTTCTATATTTTGGAGATGAAAATTAAATCATCATCAATGTAGGTTATCGGCACTTTAATTTAAATTTAGAATCATTTGCCAAACCTTGAATATTCACCCGAATTATATGATTGCTACACATGTTTTACAAACTTAATTTTTAAAGTACCATAATTATATTATTACTGTACCTCACTTTCGTTGTAGGTTAGCGAAAGTTCCCGAGTTCAATTTCTATCGAAACAATTATTTTTAAAGCTAGACACATATATATAGGATACAATAATTGTCGACCCTATGCACTATTTGGAAGGGTTTAAGAAAAAAGTCAGTGGCGGTACAACCTCTTTAGGTCGTGGCCTCAGATTTCTGAATCTGTTTCATGATCATTTTTAAATCAAGTAGGCAAGTAGTAAGGCAAGTAGGTGATCAGCCTCCAGTGCCTGACACACGCCGTCGACTTTTTGGGTCTAAGACATGACGGTTTGCTCACGATGTTTTCCTTTACCGTTCGAGCAAATGTTAAATGCGCACATAGAAAGAAAGTCCATTGGTGCACAGCCGGGAATCGAACCTACAACCTCAGGTATGAGAGTGGCACGCTGAAGCCACTAAGCCAACACTGCTCTCTTTGGAAGGGTTTGGAAGTTCAAATATTACTCACCTCCTGTTTAGATATATAAATAGGTTTATTAAATATAATCCACACAGCCGTTTCCCAGCATCCGGGGTGAGTGGTTGACCCCTCATATGTAAGGTACTGCTGAGTGTTGGGCAATAGAGTGCTAAGTGGCAGGTTTCTGATTGGGTATGAACTACCTGTGAATTATATACAATGTCTTTTTATACGGGAACTTATTACTTAGTGATCACGAAATATTACTAGACATTTATAAAATTGCAATTAACTTAGCATTTATATAGGCCCATTATTTTGATAATGATTAATACGGTGTAAATTGCAATAGTGTAATTAAATATATAGATGATAAATAATGTCAACTTTTATTTTGTTAACTTTGGATAAGAGACTATTATTTAGGGGTTCAAGTGCACAGGCGTTAATTAAAGCCGAATTTACATTACGAAACTAGTGTTATGCATGTTGGAATGAGTTTCATGAAAATAGTTGCAGCACGTTTGAAACTACTTTAACAAAAAATAATAGTGTCGTGAAATCAACAGTATCACCAACGACATGGCTCTGTCAACATCAAAGCTTCATTTTGCAATGCAGAACGTCGTGGTACAGATGTTAATATATAAAATTCGAAAAAGGTTATCTCGAAAGAAAAGACGTTGGTGGATTGCCATTTTGGCGGTCATTTAGCTGCACGATGCACTCAAACACACACGTCTGCCCTGTGCAAATGCTTTCGCGACACTAGTTTCGTGTCGCGTTTTCATCGTGAAAGTAGTTGCGTGACATTTTTTTTACAAAAAATATGCGCATGGCACGAAATTTATCCAGTGTCGCGAAACCGATGCATGCATTATGAAACTGTAAATTTACACGTGAAATTGTTGATGAAATTTATGTCATAAAACTAATTCCGAGCCACTAGTTTCGTAATGTAAATTCGGCTTAAAGATTTAAGTTGGCGCCTGGTAGATAGTACCGGTGGGCCCAGAGCTGGTGCTTTCCTCACTCAACGAACAAGTATCGAAATCCAGCGAGGAAATGCTGCCAGCGTTAAAGGTACATTGTCACAGGGACCAATGTTTTTGGATTGGTTTTAATTTTCTCGTTATCAATTTTTAATTGTTAATATATTATAAGAAGAAGCTACTATATGTTTTAATATTATATTAATGATTTGGTATACAAAATGATAATGAAATAAGATTAAGGATTTAAACGCCTATTATATATTACTTGAAGTTTCAAGTGATTTATTAAAATTAGTAGGATACAGTTATGTCAATGTTGAGATAACTCTACTAGCGTTAAAGGTACACTGCCACTGGGACCAAACTTTTTAAATTTGTTTTGTTTTCTTTTTATTTTTTTTTCATTATTTTTATTATTACTGTGTTGGTTAAGAAAATTGTAAATACTGTATATTTGATCATTATCAAAACCTATTACACGTATATGTTGAGGTAGGGTTTTATGAAATATTAAATAATTCAATTAATGTATGCAATTTACGATGTTAACAGAAAATATGGATTTTATCATACTAGCTTCCCCCGCGAACTTAGTTTCTCCTTAATGTGATTTTCCTACCTTTTTAGTACATAACGTGGAACATTTTGCTATGCTACCCCAGAGACTGTTCGGTTTTCCGGAATGAAAACTTTGTAGGTTTTTCTGTGAATTTTTCTCTATATAAACCTCTCGTAGTTTAAGTCATAAGTTTTTAACTAACCAATAATAAATAGATATATTGATTTATTAATTTTAGAGGGGTAAAATTTAGGGGGATGAAAATGATGTCGTCCGATTCGCAGACCTAACCGATATGCACACATAATTTCACGGAAATCGGTCGAGCCATTTCGCAGGGGTTTAATTACAAACACTGTGACACGAGAATTTCATATATTAGATAAAGTAATGAACGGGATAACGTGAAGTGTGTTTAAAATATCGATAACATTTTTATGATATAGGAGTATGAAACATCTTTTGGACAAATAGTCGTATAAAGAGCGCTTTGCCTTTCCAAGCCTCATTACCACATACGAGGCATGCCTTTTAAGTTTTGTCGTTTGCAGAAAAAAACACAACTAGAACCTTATAGTACTTTTTATTGTTTTTCAAAGTATTCACCACGTAGCTTAATACACTTTTCCATTCGCTCAAATCAGTTATTATAACATTTATTCCACTCTAAAGTAGAGGTGTTCAAAATGGCTGACTTGAAAGCGTCGACTGCTTTAACCACGAAGACTTTTCTTAATTTTTGGAAATGTAAAGAAATCGTTAGGGCTTAGGTCAGGACTGTATGGAGGATGGTCAACAATTTCTACTTTTTCCTGCTTCAAATACTGTATTGTTTGACGAGCGCTGTGTGAGCTTGCGTTGTCGTGTTGCAGGATGATGCGTCGCTTTGAGTTAGATTTTCGAAGTTTGGCGATGACTTGTGGTAAACAAACTGTGGTATACCACTCTGCGTTAACCGTTCTACAATCTTCAAGTGCAATAGTCGCAACATGGCTGGTTTTTCCAACGAACGTGGCCACCATCTTCTTTGAAGTGCTTAAAGAACGAACGACTTTAGTCGGCTTTGGCTCGGTTTGAAAGACCCAGATTGTCGATTGTTGTTTGGAAACAGGATCGTAGGCACCGATTCGGCACCACTGATGATGTCATAAACGTGATTTGACTCTCCTCGGTTGAACCTTTGCTGAGTTTTCTTACACCATCTGACGCGGGCCGCCTTGTGATCGTCGGAAAGCAGATGCGGTATCCAACGGCAAACTAGCTTTTTCACACCAAGCGCTTCATGCAAGATCTTGTGAATGGTTGTCCCTGAGATTCCTAATAGAGCCTCTATCTCTTGATACGTCACATGATGATCTTCGAGAATTAGTTGTCTCACAGCAATGATGTTTTCTTCAGTGAAGGCGGATTTTGGGCGCCCTTCGCGAGACTTGTCACTAACACTAGTATGTCCACGCTGGAATTCTAAATACCAGTGTTCGACAGTCCGCAGACATGGGGCTTCATCACTGAACACAGATATTAGCTCTTCAAAACACTGAAGTCGTGTCAGGCCTCTTCTAAAGTTGTAGAAAATTATTGCACGAACATTTTCCTTAGAAAGATTCATTTTCGTACGTAACTTGACAGATTCAAATCGACGCTGTGACTAAACAAAAGCATTAATCCTAATACTTTTAACTGTTTTGAGATTCAAAATTTAAACACATTCGAATATAGTACAGGTCCAAATTCAAAATTGCCGGGAAATATGGAAACGACGGAACTTAAAAGGCATGCCTCGTATAATCAAACCACATTACAAATAACAAAAGGTGTATGTCCTTATATAAATAAAAATAAAATCATAAACTATGTGGCTAAGCACAAATCTCGAAGGCGGCTGGAACAAATCAAGTAGTTTTAAAATGTTTATTCCTTGAATAGTTTCTGATGTCTGAGAATAGTTTTAATGAAGAGAAAGAGTTTTATTACTAAGGCTTTTATTCCTGAAAAGCGAACAGTCTTCATGGGTTAGCACAACAAAGTGTTCCACATGTAATTGTAGGTACTCAAAAGGTAGGCTAAGTAAAATCATATTAAGGCACATCGAACGGGGCAGGTTGTGTATATATTTTATTGTCAAAATATAATAATTTGTCTTACCTCTGAACATTACTTTGTTGAAGGCGCTTGTTATTATTCTTAGTTCCTTGTTAGTCGGTTCTCCAATCTATAAATCATCAATATACATACACAACAAGTGTACGAAAATCCATATCTATAATACGCTACAACCTTTTAGGTCTAGATCTCAGATTTCTGTATCGGTTTCGTGATCATTACTATATATAATAGGCAAGTAGACCTAAACATTATGTGCCTAAAAACCGGCAACTTTTTGGGTATAAGGCATGCCCGTTTTCTCACGATTTGTACATAGTACTAGTACTAGTACTAAAAATTTGGTCTTAGGGTTTATTAAATCTGCTACCCGTGACTTGCGTGCTGATGTATCCCACGGGAATATATTTTATGGCATATAAATATGTATATTTTTTTAAAATTAGTTTACCTGAACCATGAGAGAAATTCCAACGACTCCTTGTGATTTATGTTGTGCTTCGGACATGTTATGGTATAGTTCCTTGTTGAAACCATACAGTTGAATCTGTAATGAAATTGAGCTAAATTTCGCGTTAACCAATATACAAGTTTTAAAAACTATAATATTTTTAATGGAAACGGGCGTGAAATATGGCAAGAGAAACAGAAAAGTGGAAAAAAGGACTAAACTTGGGCACCAGGTACAATAAACGCAAAAGAGGAAGACAATTTAGAAGCTGGAGAGACCAGATTAAGGAAACAGCACAGTGTAGGACAGGAATCAGGGGCTTTGGAGGAGGCCTTTGCCAAAAAAAGGCACATAGTTAACCTAAAAAGAATGAGATGATAGAAATATAATGTGTTTAACTGCAAAAGTATGTGAAATAAAAGGCTTTTTTATTATATATATGGAAAAGTACATAAATATTTGAAAAAAATATTTTTGAGGTTATTAACCAACGACTAGTATTTTTGTCTAAATTTCATTATTCGCCATCGTAACCAATAGTACAGACAAATGAGGACATCTTTGACACACAGAAAGCATCCGCTTAGACTTTAAAAATCGTACTAAAACATGCCACAAACAAAAGAGTTACAAAAAATTCCCAGTTCATTAAGAAGACAATTGTCTTGCAGACATTGTGTAAAATTATCTAAGCGATTGTTGTAAGGAAGTTTGTCCCTCGAGAGTAATAACAGCTGATAATATTTCAGGTGTTAATTTGTGACCGGGCAGATATAACTTTGTTCATCTCGGACTTAAATTATGCATTTTTGTTTATCTGATACCCCTCTTTTAACTCTTTTGTACATTAATTTTTTTCCTACAGTAAAGCTCACAAAAATTGTGCGACTTTATATGAATTACAATCTAGCCTATACAATAATTTTATGGCTAGTAAGTAATATTATGTTGACTTAATTTTCTTTAATACTAATAATGTTCATTAACAGTCTTAGTATTCTATAATGTTTTGTCACTATCTTCCTGTGTCCGAATACGATTTACATTAATAAATAAATTTTTATTAATTGTTTGTTTTGATTAATGTTGGCAGAAAAAGCCGAATTTGTAAGGCTGTTCGAAAAATTCATAGCATAAATGTTAGATTTTATATTTAGGCTATTATATTTCCTTCAACTTCGATTTTGTAATTTGTAATCTACTCTTGGGCCGTAGGGTTCAAGTGCACAGGCGTTAAAAAAGATTTAAGTTGCCGCCTCGTAGATAGTACCGATGATCCCAGAGCTGGTGCTTTTCTCGCTCAAAGAATTAGTATCGCAATACAGCGAGAAAATGCTGCCAGCGTTACAGGTACACCCTCATAGGAACCAAACTCCTTAATTTTCGTTTTAATTTTCTTATTATGAATTTTTAATTATTTGTATTACCTATTACTATGTTCATTAAGAAAATTGTAAATACTGTAAGTTTGATTGTTATATTTAGGTTTTAATAAAAATTTACTTTTTGTTTTCCTAATACAAACAAGATTTTCACACAATTTTTGTGTTATGGAATTGTATACACGTTAATATCAAATATTAGAAAAACAAATGCTTGGTTATTTGAGTTTAAAATAATCATATTGTCCTTGCTTTACGCGGGTTTGTTAGAAAATAAATTAGTCAACGCTTATAAACGAAAGTTTACATTATTTACACAAATAAATTACAGACTCGATACATCTAATAATCAGGTCTGAAATACATTTGAAAAAAATATATATTCCAGCGTCTGAATATTTGAATCACATACAACAATTTCAAACAATTTCTATAACAATACTTGGCGATTAAAAAGGCGGCGAGAATTTTTCCCCCCCTCCTCCCCCCCCCCCCCCCCCCCCCTGATTGCGAACTGGTAGTAAATGTAAATTTGTTATTTAACTTGACGATTCAAAAGTTTACTTTGTTACATTACTTGAATAAAATATTTTGAGTTTGAGTTTGAAACATAAATTACGTAAGTACCTACCTCTCCCGGAAATGTATGATGGTCTATCTGATGTTCAGACCCTCTATTGTCTTCCAAGCCATAGTGGAAGTAGATCTCCTCAAACTGGTATCGATATGACAGCGGACCTCCACTGATGTTCACTTGGTGCTTTGAGTCCTTCTCTACGCGAAATACCAGAGACTGTCCCGTGTTTTGAAGCACGCCGCTGACCTGTGAATAATTAATTTTTAAAATGTATACCAAATCTCTATTGATTCTTAGAAAGGCCTTAACATGGATCACTCCTCCAAACTGGGTAGCGATTCTAATTCTTTATAATGTCAATTAAATATATAAAGTTATTTTTTAACTAGTAGAAAATTAAATAATTGCACAATTAACCTACAGTAGGGATGCTCGATGATCATTTTTCGTTGTCTCGCTCGCTCTTATCTCTCACTACTCTTAATCAACAAAGAAATAGATTAAAAGGTTCTTCATTATCAAAATTACTATTCATTCATACAGTTGGTAAAAAATATCGGAATATGTAATAATTTGTTCTGCTCTTAATCAATTTCAAACCATTTCACTGTATTTTATTTCTTCTTCAATAATTAATGCAAAAATATTTTAGTTGAATAACATCGATGTTTCGTTTTCGGTAAATATCGGACAACGATGTCAATATCGATGTTTTTCTAATATCGATCATCCCTAACCTACAGCTTAATGGTTAACGCATTAACGCAGCGAGTTAAAATGATAACAATCAGGCTAGTTACTTTTAATACTATTGTTAAGAAAATACTCAAAGAATTCAGTATGTCAATAACCAATATACGTGACAAATACAAGTCATTCTTATCGCTAAGAATCGACCCAAAATTCACCAAAAGAATCAGTAATTACACTAAGGTAAGTCAGGACATTAAACAAAATTCATAATATCAAAATATCGATGGTAGAAAATTGTGCAACACGGCAAATAAAGTCTACATCTTTTTTATAAGAACTGATAATCAGCTGTTTATAATCGAATAGTATTCCCGTCATCAAATTTAGTTTTCGGTAGTTTCGAATGAAACGGTATATTGTTGTATTAAACTATCTCGAATTTCTTCTAGTAGTTTCGGATGAAAAGGTATATGGAACGAGATGATCTTAATTTATTTTTCGGCGACACAATAATTGATATGGGTCAGAAATCAGTTAGTTTCATGGTTGTGGGACATTAAACCGATTGGAATTGTGTTACAGCGTATTTATTTCTAAAGTTTCAACTTTGAAATAGCTAGTTTTATGTACAACGTTTTTCTTGTAAAATTTGTGTAAAGTAATGAATCAGGAAACCAACTAGTAGTTTAGTTTCAATCAATCAATTGGTCACACCTTGATTAGAGCGGTTTGACTTAAGATGAGTTATTACATGCTGACACGCGAAGGCATTGTTTTGACTGGAATGAATTATTCCTTGAAAGATAACGCTTTTACAGAAATCTTTTTAAGTTTGCATTTATACTTTAGACAACTCTTTAAGATTAAATTTATTTCCAAAACCCAAATATACGGTGTTTTAAATTTTCTTAACCTAGATAATAATAATAATAATTAAAAACAAATAAATAAAAAGAAAAACATTTGTATTTTTTTTCCACAAATAATATGAGTTCGTAATCTTAATTTGTATTAAACAAATTCACTCTGTACAATAACGGAAAAAAATGCGTGTATCGCTAGAAAGTAAGACAGATCTAAGACTCATAAAATCAAAGTTGTTGGACAAAGTTGATCGATAACATACATACATAATTATTTTAAACAAAATCCTATGTCTTTATGTGTTATAAATTAAAACCGAATTATATAAGGTAGAATAAAATATATGTAAGAGACATTGTTGGAATAAGATATATGTATGACACGATATTTAGGCTTCCAAGCACATAATATGCTAAAATTGGAAGGTGTATAATACATGTTAACTAATTTCTCAAAAATTAAGAGTCATAAAGATGCAACTTATATTTAATTAGATGTATTCCAACTTAGGGAACAATTGATGTTTTATATAAATCGGTATAGATTTATATAATATAATATAGTATAATGACAATTGTTAATTTTAATTGACTTTTAAAACTTGCTAATACGTTTTAGTAAAACATCATGAGGAGTCCAGCATACCAAAAAGTCAACAGCATGTCGGGCACGGAAGGTTGAATACTTGGTTTTCAGAAAAAAAACATGGAATAAGTATATAAAGAAATCTGATGCCTGGCCTTAAAAATTTTGCCACTGGTTATCAATCAATTTTTCTGCAGATACGTTTCTATAAAATGTGTAATCGCTACAACTATGACTCCGATTTCCTAAATGGTTACAGTGTTTTAATAAAATGTTCTATTTATACTGACAAAGTAACTGCATGAAAATAGTATGAATAAAATGCTTAAAGTCATGTTGGTAATTCATATGCACTGAATGTAATTCAATGCTAATGCATGCGAAAGCGATATGCTATCAAGCACGCTATCACAATTCATGACGCGTTTTTGTTATAGTTAAAACTGTAGTTAGCTTTTACTTTGATTTCAGATATATGAAACATTATGTTTTCAAAGTAGAAATACCATCAGAAACATAACCCGATTCCTTAGGTGTGAGAACAGGGAACACCTTAGTGCCTTTAGACCTCATCTCTCATCCAAGAGGGAAGGGAACTGAACTTGAACTACGTCTGCATGCATGGGCATCATCATCATCATCGCATTTAACACTCGGTCGTACGGAGAGGGAAACATTGTGAGACCGGCTTGCCTTAGACACAAAAACGTTGACGGCGAGTGTCGGGCACAGAATCATCATGTTGCCTATTAGAATAAACAAATGATCACGAAATAGCTACAGAAATCTGAGGTTCAGACCTAAAATATTCTAGCACCACTGTTTTTTTTTCCCCTTTAGGAGGCTTTTACAATATTTGAAGTTATTAAATTGAAAAATAGTTTCTTGTAATAAAATAAATACATTAGTGTCGCTACAACCTCTTTAGGTATTGGCCTCAGATTTTTGTTTCATGATCATTTTAAATCTAATAGGCAAGTAGGTGATCAGCCTCCAGTGCCTGACACACGCCGTCGACTTTTTGGGTCTAAGACATGTAAGTTTCCTCACGATGTTTTTCTTCACCGTTCGAGCGAATGTTAAATGCGCACATAGAAAGAAAGTCCATTGGTGCACAGCCGGAGATCGAACCTACGACCTCAGGTATAAGAGTCGCACGTTGAAGCCACTAGGCCAACACTGCTCTAATATTAATTACTTTCTAATACCCAATTTATTTTTAAATATCTGTTTTATATGTGTCGCAAAGGGGTCAAACAATCCTGCGGGTCGCCCATAAAAACTTAGACTCAAAAGTATACTATGTTTTTGTTAAGAACCAATTTATAAACGGCATCATAACTACAATAAACAGGCACTATATACCAAGATAACTATAACATATTAAACTAAAAACACCTCTATTAAAGCCAGCCTTATGCCATTGTTACATAAACATTACCGCTTGCGCTTACTTATCTAGGGAAATATATTGTGCAGTTCTTATGTAAGAAGCAATGTACTACGTGCTTAAATTCTCTGTTGACTTAACTGTTGAGCGGATTACTGGCCATTCCTATGTTAATCCAAACATTATGCGATTATCAAGTTGTGGCTTAACTAAATTCTCACTAAATTAAATGCGTGAATTTTCAATTGTTACCGTCTCCCTGTATACGTAATTTACTAATACGGTTAGTAAATGCAATATGAAGTCGGCTGTTATTTCAAAAAAAGGGTGCGTTATGTACGCGCGTAAGAAGTTATACTTCTTTGGCTTTCTTTATTTTTTTAAAATATTAAATAATTAATAACAAATATTTAACGTTAATAATTTAATAATAATTAATATTTAGTATATTATTCAATTATTAATTAATATTAATAATAATAATTATAATTATTTATTATTTTATTATATTATTAATTCAATTTAATAACTACGTATGTTTCATAACCTTTCAACTAAGTAACAATAGGTCTTTGTGGAAAAGCATTGCTAAATTTCTTTGAGAAATAGTTAAAACTATAATTATAATTAATATTAATAATAATAATTATAATTATTTATTATTTTATTATATTATTAATTCAATTTAATAACTACGTATGTTTCATAACCTTTCAACTAAGTAACAATAGGTCTTTGTGGAAAGGCATTGCTAAATTTCTTTGAGAAAATAGTTAAAACTTCTTTATAATTAATATTAATAATAATAATTATAATTATTTATTATTTTATTATATTATTAATTCAAATTAATAACTACGTATGTTTCATACCCTTTCAACTAAGTAACAATAGGTCTTTGTGGAAAGGATTGCTTCTTTGAGAAAATAGTTAAAACTGTCTTTATTGTTCATTCACAATTCTTGGCATAGCTGCTAACTTCTCGCATATTCTATTTCTTTTTACGTGTAGATTGTCTTATTCCCATCTCGCTCGCGCACGCTATAATCACACTGACAACTTTGTGTCTCAGGTCGCATCGTAAAATTTCACTCTCATCAATTTTTCATAACGCGCCTAAAGAAGTATAACATAATATATAACATATTCAAAAATCGCTGTCGTGTGTCTAATCTACTTATCTATAAAAATCTAATGCAGCATCGGTACACTAACTTTTAAAAGCACACTGATTTTGATATTTTGTTTGCAATTTCGAATGATTTGTATATATAGTTCATTCGCAATGCAAATGTCCCAACCTTACGATGCGCTACAATGAATCTGACCGTTGAAATCTTATAGTGAGTTTTTTAGCTTTGAAACAGGTACAAAAATAGTTTGATCTCAAAAACTAGAAAAGCATGCCCGTTTTTAACTTAATTGCATATGGGTACGTTTGTCCAGAGTCATAGGATGAGTAGTAAGAAATGATTTTGTTATGTAAGAGGAGGCAAACAGGTCGGATATACAATTACTTAAACATTAATAATGGAAAAAATAAAGCAATACACATATGTAGACAATGAATAACAGTTAAGAATTCGTACCTTGTGTTTGTCAAACTGCACATCTCGAAGCCAGGGATCAAACAACAACTTGTCAGGTTCTATATTGATTGGGCTCTGTCGTCTTCCCTTGTTGCACATACTCCATTGGGGATTGATTAGACCCCAGAAACCAGGACCTATAAATAACATAAGTTGTACAATTGTACAGATATTTATTTATTATTATTTATTAACACTTCGTTGCATATACATTAATATAGTACAATTGACATAATGAAATAAAAAGGAGAACATCTGGCGACCTTATCGCTTTCGAGCGATCTCTTCCTGGCAACCACTGTGAGAAAAGAAAAAAAAAGTATTAAATTACATAAGGTAGGCAAGAAATGCAAAAATAAGATATTGTAAAATTATGCTTTGAATAAAGCTTTTGACGTCGTGACTTCACACAATAACTATTCCTTCGATTTTTTTTAATCGTACCATCTTTTAGAAAGCAAAGAGCAATGAGTTACTGTGGTAGCTATCTTCTAACTGTTAACTTTAATTCAACGACTCTGAGTACGACTGTTAGGCATTTTAAAACAAATCACATCAGCGACTTGGTACGTAGATGTAATGTCGGTTCGGTGGCTGCTGTTCGGTGCTGAAATACACAATTTCTTTTATTTTATTTTTGGTCTCAATCATCACGCATGTCAAGGAGGATAATTATATACTTATGAAAAAATGTTATAGAAAGGATATACGTGTTTGAAAATAACATGAGGACCCTGAGAAGGCTCAGCGCTTACCTAATCCATCCAAGTACGCAATCGAGTTATAGGGACAGGGGAACTATAACAGGAACAACGGGAAAGGTTTGACTAATTCTAATACATATACTTTTCCTTTTACTACAAACACAAACAGTACACTTATACTGTAATATTAAAATCAAATATGGAACAATTACAACGTCTAACCAATACCACAATGCAAAAGAGAATCTGAAATCAACCATGGCGATCGGCCTAATCAAATTATGCATTACCCTCAACAAAAGTGATTTAAAAAATATAAATTACGAATATAATACAGATATGCCTTAGACAAACCGTTTTTGTTTGGTTATTTGCGAGTATCTTACTCTACTGATTTCAATGATAAAACTAATAATGAACTTTATAATTGTCAGGGTTTAATACTTGGGTTTTTACAATACTTGGAAACCGCTGACGTGTCAAGTTAGCTAAGGCAAGTTAGTTAACTGCAAAATAAATTAATAATTTTCTTGATGGAAATACTTCAGTGGGCAGCTGGTTCCACAAAGCAGTGGGGCACAGCAAACATTGCCTTAAGAAACGCTCAGTTGTGGATGGTATTTCGTATTCTGCCTTGACGTCCGATGATGAAACTCAGCTACAGATATCTGAACAATTCCATAGATTCTATCCAATAGTAGTACCATTATCAGTACTATTTTGATTATCGAACATATTATACTTAAAAAATAACATTTCACATCGAACTAAATTCCGACTTTAAAATTAATAATGAACTACGAAATCCTACTTTATGCCTATAGTTTCATATTAATCGTTGTTCAAATCTGACTATGGTATCACTGAATTAACTTCGTCCCATCAGTGCATTCGCCCGTGTAACATTAGGGTGTACCCGGGCATCGGAAGTCATTATCCGAAACGGTCATTACGCTTGGATTTGTTGCCATTTTTCATTATGGACCTAAGAATGTTCTACTGATGTTATTTCGCGAGAAGTTCTTTTAGTTGAAAGGTACTTAAGTTCTTTTTATTGGCTTAGTGGCTTCAGCGAGTGACTGTCTCTGTCGTCGTAGGATAAAACCCTGGCTGTGTATCGTTCATCATCATTACCACTCGCTCGCACGGTGATGGAAAGCATCATGAGAAAACCGGCATGCCTTAGACTGAAAAACAGCGTGTGCCAGACTGATAAACTTCATTTTTTTATTTTATCTGATTTTATGACATGATATTTTTGAGGCAATTAGGGAATGCCAATCCAATCATTTGTTTTTTCTCCGTAACTCGAAAACTATCAAACTACGGCAAGCTTCGCCCTTCTCATCTGAATCACGCAGTCTGCCGTGGACCACAGGCTGATAAACTTCATGACTATTAGAAAAAACAAATGATCACAAAAGATATACCAATGTATGGTCCAGACCTAAGAGCTTGTTTTAGCGCCCAGTCCGTAGGGGTCGCTCTAGGCATGCTAGTAGCAAAGGACCGCAGACATACGACTAATCATATTTAGCTCCCGATATCTATCTACGCCCTTGATTTGCGAACTGGTAGTAAATGTAAATTTAGAATCAATTTATTACCTTTTCTGTGACGTTCATGAGTGTACTTGTTTACCTATATGAATAAAAGAGATTAAAGAGTTAGATATACGTTTTAAAACTTCACCTTAACCATCCATGAAATTACGATTCAATTATAGTTGTTAATTTGATTATAAATGAGTGCTGCCGGGAATCAAATACCCCAGACGTTACGTTCCTTTACAATACTCCTTTTTTTCATGATCTTGGTTCTTTATAAAGTACTAACATACAAATATAATGTAAGGATATAAGTTAATTTAAATTCTCGCGCATAGGTAAATAATAGGTATTTTAACGATGTAAAAAAATACAGTAGTATTTGAAATCACTATAAAATAGTTATGGTTCTAATGAAAATCAGTGTTGCGGATGACAGAAACAAGTTGTATTTCTTCTTTAGTTAATGCTTTAATCAAATATACGTATATTATTAATTCTTAACTGACTTACATTTAATTTATATAAATATGTACTATTTCCACATATGTTATGAGTTATATCTGTACTTGTATATTATAGGAGTGTCGAAGGTAAAATTAAAAATTAAAAGGCCGGCAACGCACTCGCGAGCCCTCTGGCATTGAGAGTGTCCATGGGTGGCGTTATCACTTAACATCAGGTGAGCCTCCTGCCCGTTTGCCCCTGTTCCATAAAATAAAATGCTAAAATACATAGGTATGTATTTGTAACTGAAAGCTTGTAGGTTATTTTTTTGGGTCTTAAATTAGAAAACGTAAAGCATTCCCGTAATCATGCCTCATAGAAGTAGCAGTCAATTTCGGAAGTAAATTACATAATTAATAAGTCAGGTTTCCCTTAATAGACTCCGCGTTGATAAAATAATCAGGGTTAGTCTTATAAACTTTCTTGTTGTCTTAAGGTTCTTGTGTTAAGTGTTGCAATTTTGAATGGAGAGAGCTGGAGAAGGCCTATGCCAAAAGGCACGCCGAATTGCGAGACATAATATAAAATGACACTACATACCCATACCTAATTGTTTACCTTAATCAACTTTTCTGGAAATTAAAGGCTTTATTATTTATTATGATTAGTCTTATAAAAAAGTCACAACATTTACAGTTTTTATCAAATTAAATCATAATTATACACAGGGTTATATTTTAAATCTTCAGTATAAACCCTAATCCACAAAGAACCTTTAGTATTATTCAAAACACTATCAAAAGTGTGGATCGTTTAATAATTCAAACAATTCCATCGAATAGAGGGCGTAACTGTCATTAAGATTTTATCATTCAACATTAGTTTTATCACAGTATTATAATGTGATACTGTCCCACTTTCAGACTAAATGTAATTGTCAAAATATAACGTTGTCTATGAATAATTTAAGTGTTTAGATAGTCAAGTTTTTGGAGTAAAACCAGTATTATTCACTTCCAAAAACGAATTAAATAATATGATTAAAATCGCATTTTTATAAACTAAAATTTCTTGTGTTTCTATCATTCCTACTCCTGATAGAAGTTATATACTTTTTATATCATAATGTTTTATTCCTTCTTAATATGGGCCAAAGTTGCAACTCCTTATATTGTGTAATAAAATCGTTGGCGACTAAAAGTAGTAGCGGAGGTCGCAACAGCAATCGGCATGTTATACTTCTTAATAGAAACAATTTTATCGTGAGTATAAAATGGAGCCTTTCCTCTTTTGTCGAGACCAGATAATAATTATTTGTAGTAGATGATTTTTAAGTGGGTATCTTCAATCATGTACATGTATTAAATAACAGTGCCAGTGATGGCATACATTACTCATATTCTATAGTTTCTGTTGGCCTAGTGGCTTCATCCTTGCCATTAGAAATAATCATGGAACAGATACAGATTTCTGGCCAGGCCTAAAAGGTTGTAGCGCCATTGGTACTTAGTTTCGATATTTTTTAAGACATATTTTACAGACCTACCGAGATGCGTTTGCTTATTACATGGAAATAAAAATGTTACAATGAATTATATATTACCTGATATGCCATCATAGGTCCACCATTCTTCCCAGCTGCCTGATATATCTGAAAATAAATAATTTAATGACATCAGAATGTCTTTGTGTGTTTGAATTGCAAGATGGTTAATTGTTAATTCTTTGCCAAACAATATTTTTCGATCGTAACATAATATAATATTAAAATTAAATACCTAAATAAAAGTTGATTAAAACCTTCAAAGCTTATAGCCGGTGTATAGAGAATGCCTCTTCTTGAGACCCTCAAAGACACACGCACTTCCGACCTCAATTTCTATCTATTTGTTTTTTAACAATTTCTTGTTGTATACATTAGTCGTAAAAAAAGTATTATATAACTTGTAAAACGCTATTGTTACGATAATAATAATCTGGGTATATTATTTATTACACTTAAAATTTCGTTAAATTTCCATTTATTCAACGAAGAACATAAATAAGTAAGGTTAGCGATATATACTGACGCTAATAATAGTGAACCTACCTTTGACATTGATGAAAATAATGGTGAGGATGAGCAACCATTGGCTCATGTTGTCGCTGAAGGTCACGCTTCAAACCGCATTGGTGACCTGAAAACAAAATGGGGATTGGTTAGTTAAAACAGGCTGCAATCGTAGAGTTAAGATAACCTAATAAACGTTTATAATAAGAATAGTAATATAATAATAATTTATTTATTGCAAGAATATGGTACAAAATGTGTAAGGTGGTACAATCGTAAGTTCGCATATTCTACCACAACGGCGCGCAAATTTGTATTTAAAGGAATTTTTTATTTGTGACTTGTGATTTTCCGTAGAAAAGAGTTTCTATGGTTGCTTCTGATAAAGCACAATCTTGCCTACGTAGAGAAGAGCACCAGTCACTTACTCAATCCAAATCCAAATTTCACTACTAGACATTTATTTTTGAATCCATTGTTTTGTTACATAGTTATAATAATAATAATAAAATATTGACAAATGGAGAATTAAAACAAATTTAAAAAGCACCAGCTCCGGGCACCGGTACTATCTACCGGGTGCCAACTTAAATCTTTAATTAGCGCCTGTGCACTTGAACCCCATGGCCCAAATTATAGTTGAAGGAAAGAAGAAGAATAAGTTTTTAAGAATATTGTAAATAACATAGAATGTTTGTGTAGCTTTAAATATACTTTCCTATAGCTAATGTTTCTCTAAACAATTGACTAAAGCGTTCACTTGTCTCGGAGTCCAATACTCACTTTGAGCCGTAGTGCCAGCGGAGTGACTGCCTTAACCATATTTGGGTCATAGCGGTGATTACTACGACTATATATCTTTAACATCGATTTGATATATTAGTCCCAGATAACCAAAACATCAATACAATGTGTCACCTACAATCTACAAACACTATGATGATGTCACACTCTGAATCGCGCTAACAAAGTTATTTCGACAGCTAAGGACATACAATTGGACCATTGGAGTCAGTCAGTGGTTACTTAGTCAGTTGGACAAAATTGACAAATTGACAAATGAATGTCTAGTAGTGAAATTTGGATTCGTATTGAGTGAGTGGCTGGTGCTCTTCGCTACCAGAGGAACTCTTTTCTACGCAAATTCACGAAGCAAGTCCATTTGCATGTCTTCCCTTTGGAAAGAGTATGACTGTTAAGCAATTTAAATGATAGGTGTTTTTATACTCTTTGTAATTGTTGGTTAAGAATTTCTCAAAGCTCCACATATTTCACATAAATACAATAACTTTAAACATACATAATGAAAAATATTTTCTTAGTTTTAAATTGAAATGGTTTAAATTAGTAAAGTTGCAAGGCTTTCAAGGAAGATAAATATTAGCAGGCTGGTAATTGTAGACAGACACGCGATCCTTGTTTATGTTACTAGATATCTATTAACTGTTACATACTGTTGTTTACAAGTGCTGATTAAAAGTTATTTAGATACGATTAAGGTTGAACTACAAACAAAGAGGATTGGAAAGAAGCATGGTGAGTGTAACACTGAGACATCGAAAAAGAGCAGAAGAAATAAGATCAATAACGTAGATGACGTTAAGAAAATAAGGCAATTGAAATGGCGCTGGACCGGGCACATGAGAGATAGCAGGTTGAAATTGACTGAAATAATTACAGAATGGCAACCACGCGGTGGAAAAAGGAAAAGAGGAAGACAGAGCAAAGGATGGGCAGGCGATATAAAGGGAATAGGAGGCACTACTTGGACTAGAAGGAAAGAATGGAAGCAGCTGGAAGAGGCCTATGTGTCACAGGACACGCTGATTACCTAAAACGGGTCAAGTGATGTATTAGATTAAGTTTTATTTATGAATTAGAATTAAGTTTTATTATGTAACTTAAATGTTAATATATTATACTGGGTGTCAGCAATAATAATAAGATCGAACTATAATACTGTTTGTAAGATGAATTTAAAACTGCACGGATTTTAATAGAGTGATTCATGACGGTTTACGTATATTTTTTATGTAATAGGAGGCTATACTGATTTAAGTGAAACCTTGCCAGAAGGATCGCAAGTGCGTGGCCGGCCTTTTAAGAATCGGTACGCTCTTTTCATGACCCTAAGACAAATTAGTTCGGAAATACTTCAGAATTTATTTATATTATCAATGATTTGTATAAATTGATTGAAAATAACAATAATTGTTGGAAATGTTGGGATATTTCAAGCCTATTGGATATAAAGATATTTTGTTACAGCCGTTTTTTGATCCGTAGTTAACTCAACTATTGTAAATCGTTACTATTAGTTAAATATCAGCAAAATCGTTTTTTGATCCTTAAAGCATCCAATGTAAATATCTAACCATTAGTCAAAAAAGTTAACTACTCAGTATCGGAGGGTTAAAAAGATGGCCCTGTAATTTATATAGTAACAGCTGTTTGTCACAAAATCAAACTATATAAATACGTTTATTACTTCTAATATGATTTAAATATTGAGATACTTTAATTAATAGACGATGAAGAAGACATAATATTATATGAGAATGTGTTAATGAGTGACCAAAAATATTTAGCAATGTCATCCCCATTAGAAACCTGGATGATGTAGATTTTTGTCACTGTTACCCCCTATCGAAGGGAACAGTGCTCTGGATTGTTACTGAAATTGATATCTTAAACTCAATGAACAAGAGTATATATAGACACGCTCTCCAACCTTTTTGCTTCATTACTAACTACATACCCAGCAGTATATAATTAAGTATATTACTAATTCATTATGTGTTTTATTGCCTATAATATTAACTTATAATTATTATAATTAAATAAAATACAAAACAAGAGTATTATAGACAGCAGCTCATACAAACCTATTTTGCTTCATTACTAGCTACAGAACCGCAGCAGTATATATTAAAGCGCTTATTACACTACGCGATATTCAGACAGTCTTAGTAAGACTGTCTTAAAATCGAATTAGTCAAGCCGCTATTACACTGACTGAATATCGCAACTAACTCATTTTACTCATTTGCAAAGCGTACGTTGTCGGTGACGGTTGTCTCGCATGGGAAAACTTTCAAGCCCAGAAATCGCCATCTCTTCCCGTCTATTAATTTAATAAAGAAAAGAAACATATGGGTGAAAGAGTATTTACTTTTCGGAAAAATTATTATCAAATATGCATACTATGTTTTGGAACCATGTGACTTAAGAAACTACCTTAAGTAGGAGTTACCAGTTTGAATGTCTATTGAAATTAGTTTTTTTTTTTTTTTTAGACAATTCCCCAATTGACCTATCCCATGCTAACTGGTGAAGCTTGTGTTATGGGTAATAGCACGTTCATACATATTATTATAGATATATAGATATAATACTTTTCACCCAAACCTAACACAACACCAATCCATCACATCGATGTTCGTCTCAGCCGATCGAACCCGACCCTATTCCATCAGGTACTAACCACTAACCTAGTTACTCCATACATTCAAAAAAAGATACGGTTCTTAGACAAAGTGTCAGTCCTAACAAATATTGGTAGTTACTTTAAATTCCTGCAACGGCAACTCCTATAAACCTAAGGTCATCCTGAAGACTTTATCCATGGTTATGAAATAAATTATTAAAAAAAAAATAAAAAAAACCTAAGTCATCATTATTAATAAATCAATCAATCATGCACCATAAATTTGGCATGTCTCGGTACAAATTGATAATATTGAAAAGTACTTTTTTTCTTGCGAACACGCCATGTCCCGGCCCGCAACCAAACATGTCAACGTCTTTGCTCTCGCTCCACCGCTGACTAACGGTTAAGCGTGCTAAGTCTTATTACACTCCGATTTCAGCAAGTAAGCAAGTAACACCCCGAACCCATTCGGTCAGTCTATTGACGGCTAACTTGCTAACTCTTATTACATTATGCTAAATCTTAGTAGACTGTCTGAATATCGCTAGTGTAATAAGCTCTTAATATATCACTTTCATTATGTGTTTTATTCCTTATATTAACTTATAATTATTATAAGTTAATATTATAGGCAATAGAAAACATAATGAATTAGAGTTAATATTATTTATATATTACTAATAATATTAACTTATAATTATTATAAGTACATACAAGTATGTACTTATACTAAAAACTACAGCTACACATTAGTTAGGGACCTATGATATTCTTTAGGGCTTTTATTACATTTGTGAGTTAGCATCTACCTACTTTATTACAAGAATTGATAAATAAAACATTTGACTTGATTAATAAACTGTTTAATTATAACTTAATCAAACCATTTTATTAAAAAAACTTACAAAATTTACATGAAACCCTAAAGTAGCAATTAAATATTTTCTAATTGTTTCTTCTTGCATTTCTCCTCAATTTGATGCAACTCTTTTTGCTGCTACATAATATATTTATTGTGCCTTTTCTTCCATCTCTGCATCACTTTTTGGTGCAACTCCTCTATATGCAGTATGAATTTTTGGTGGGCCTCTCATTTCCAAATTTTTTGATGCTCTTCCTTACTAATTGAACAAATCATCCTCTCTTTTTGTCTTTGTTTCAAAAACTCAATTTTTTTTATCCGTGTGGATCATAATCCGCTTCCTTGTTTCCAAAGAGTTAAAATATTTTTTCCTTTTGTTGTAGGACACAGCTATACAAGAATAAATATAAAAATGTGCCTACACCTTCATTAAATGTATATTAAATTTAACACTTCGGTGTCTAGACCCATCTAGTTGAAAACGTCACAGAGATTTCCAAGCTCATCGTTTTGTAGATTGCTGCAGTGATCAGTTGTTTGCAGGTTACGACTTGTATCCTTGAGAAGCTCACCAGTTTGGCAGTTTCTTTTTTGGCGAAGTTAGCAGTATGGTCCCTTTAACAAAACATAAATGTATTACTTTCTATTACGAAACACAAGATAAACCGGAATAAATAACACGAAAATATGTTTGTACTTACTTATTTGACCGTTGGCTGTTTGCGAACATCGTTATTTATATATTTAAGTATCTAAAAAGTGTAAACCGAATTAAATCACAGAAAAACAACTTTAT